TACTTTACTTAATAAACCAAAGGAACTTTTTGGCGAAAACAATAATATCTAAAATTTCATCTAAAAATCCCTTACAGTTTTCAATTTAGCAACATCAATCAGTAAAACAGAGAAATACAAAACGGTGGCTTCCATCTGGAATTTTAAATTAACGCATTCTAATTCTTTCAAAAGTATTTCTAATTTATTCAAAATGAAAAAAAATAAAAGGTTGTATCGGTATTTTTTAAACATTTCGCCCCAAGCGAGGCGGTAATTTGTACGCTGGAGAGGGGTTATAGGGAGTCAAAGTGGGAGAAAAGACGGGATGTAGGGAGAATTTAATAAAGGACAAAACCAACAGAAGATGGCGATTGACGTTGCATTTAATTTTTTAGTTTTCAGGGAATGAAGAAAACAGAAAAGAGTTCCACAGGTAGAAAGCGCAAGAAAAGAAACTGTTAGGGTAGAAGTGGCGTTTGCATTTAGCTCTTTTAACTGTAAAATGGTGGTACTAAGTTACCAATCTAGTAGCAATCTTGAATTCATGTAGTCGAAGCCCAGATAAAAAGCTCGTCAAAGCAGTTTCTATTAAAATATTTGTAGAAAAGACGTTGGTGAGAAAGTGACATATGTTGAGATGCCAGGTCAGGATCGATTAGATGAAACCTCATGCTTTGGATATTCTCATGAATCTCGAGATGTACAGCAGAAGCACCAGACCAGATTTGGCAACACTATTCAATGCACGAACGAATGGTAGATTATAAATGCGCAAGATGGATTCTGACGAAAACAAATTCTGGTACGACAGAGTGTTATTCTTTTGAGGGACATTTTTTTCTTGTGATATAGCATTCTGTATACAGATATCTTTAGAGATCCCAGTTTTAATATCGTATAGTTTTAATATCGACTTATTATACCAATCATTACATGATTGGTATAATAAGTCGTCCAGCAAATAAAACCATTTCGTGAAATTATAATCCTGATCAAAGTTATTTTATTTAACATCAACATTCAATTGATGAAGCAATTTAGTTTGTTCCGTATGAAATATTTCAATATTTTGCATTGTAATAAATCTACGACGTCAATTCTTCAAATTCATTTTCTAAATAATGTGTGGTAAATATTTCAAGCATAGAATTAAATTCACTACTTAACAAGTATCTACAAACATCATTTAAACAATTGTATGTATGTTCAGAATTGTTTTTCGGTTATCGACCTTTTGCAGGTTATTTAAGATAATGATTGTAAGATATTTTTGGAGATAATACAGATTTACTAATACAAGTCATACTAATTAACCCATATCTGGAGAGAGAAGAAGTGGATTAAGGGCAAATAAATATAACGAATCCAAATGGAATTACAGCTCGACCCATTATGTGTCCTTAAGGACATCAATGAATACATTGTTGGATGTATAAACCTAATATCTCAGTAATTGTTTTTACTGGAACTCATTTTACAATTTTTGTTATTGTTGCTTTCTCCATCTCTCTAGATTACTAGTTCCCATATTATACTCATGTCTAGGCTTGGCCGGCTTAGAAGATTTTTGTGATCTTTCATATGTGCTGATTCCTTAAGTGTTCGTATTTACCAGTGATGTTAGGTATCTATTATTTCAACGTCATCCCTCAGAGGTCGGTAAGCTCCCTATATGGTCAGCTATGCCTGATTTTTCGGTTTCCACTTTACTTTGCCCTTGCAGTCTTATCTTAAGCGGGGCGCGTGTTTGTCCTTTGTGTTTCTTGCCACACCTGCTTTGGATGGCGTACACACAATCCTTAATCATGTTCCCATCTATAGGTGGTCTTACTCGGAATAATTACTGCGTAGTAGTGAACCATTCCTGAAGTTTTTCCCGATGTTATATTTACCACAGATCTTTGACGCTTTTTATTTGCTTTTCTCCCATTATTTTTCCATTTTTCTAAAATTAAAAAAATATCATATATTCATCATCTAAATATGATATCACTATCTTCCATTGATCATTATAAATATCACCAATTAATGAAAGGATGTGACGCTAATGTTAATATTTAATAGGGTTTACGGAAGCCAAAATAAATGTGCTCATGAGATGTGATTTAAAAATTAAAAATATATAAATCATTTCTCATGAGTATATTTGTTTTGTGGTTTCTGTGAACTCCCCTATCAAATTTTATAAAAATTAATAGAAATATTGGAGTGCTTAATCTATAGCCATATGAAAATCTATTTTCAAAAGAAAATGGTCCGTGTCGTCTCATTGGCTATTCTACTAGTCTGTTATGCCCCATGCGTGATACACATTTAGGCGATTATGTATCTTTCGATACATGACAGATGAAGCAGATTTTTTTTGCCATTACTTTCTGCGGTAGACCAGTTGCCATCTAAGGCTATAGAACTCGGTCTGTCCTGCGGGGAAGAATAAGAGGATTCATACCTTTCCCAAGGCTATTAGCACGTAATTGAATGTAATGGATTCGACTGGAATTCGAACTCTCCGATTTCTCAACCCGAACCACTATCCATTACTCCACCGTGACTCCCCACCCAAAAAGAAAAACTAATAAAATTCTTAATAATATTTTTCATTAATTTGAAATGCGAAAAATTACATTTTGCCTTGTATGAAATGCGGTAAAATGTAAAATTCAAAATACATTTCTTAAAAACTTGCTAAAAGCAATCACAAAATAAATAAATTTATAATCAATATGTTCATTCTTACGGAGAACAATTTCGAAACAAAATAATTGTGATAAAATTCTTAATGACTAATTTTGCCAACTTTTCATCGAACTTATTTTGCAATAAAATGAAAATAATAAAAGTCATAAATAAAATAAATTAAATTTATACTTACTTTCGCGTTTGAAATAATAAATTCAATTTAATTTAATGGTATAAAAGATTTATTTTTAAAAGGACTAAATCGTAATATTGGTGTCTATACATGATCCCAGTCGTGGACCTCAGTCAAATGGCTGATAGACCTGTTTTAGTTAATGCCTTGATACACACACACACACATATATATATATATATATATATATATATATATATATATATATATATATATATATATATATATATATAAGGGTATTTAAAAAATGAGAATTTTTGAAGTGCGTATTGCCAGACATGAGTAAGTGGGAACACTGCGAGACCGTGACCTTGAGCAAGTAAACATTTCGACATTTAGAATTCAAGATGAAATTCACAGTATCCCAGCTGAGATGTTGCAGCAGTCAATGAGGAATCTCAACAGCAAATTTCAAGAATGCATTCGTACAGGAGGACGCCATCTACAGGACGTAATTTTTTAAAAATGAATATCCCATCATTGTTTCTTAAATGGCATGTTTTAAGGTTTCAATTACTATGAATAAAATATTTTTCTTCCATCACTCATGGTTGTATTGGATTGTTGAAAAGTTCCAATTTTTTGGGGTCACCCTGTACATGAGTCATTCTTTTTGTTTATATGTTCTTTTTATAGATACAAATATGTAAGTAAATGCTCTGTTCATAATAAACACTATTAATAACATTTACCAGCCTGAAATAGAAAATATGACAGTTCCGTATAGGATACAGGTTCGATTCCTATCGGAGGACGCATATTTTCTATGAAAATTTCTCGGACATTGAGGCCGGTAAATGTTATTAATACTGTTTATTATAAACAGAGCATCTTAAATAATTGTATCTATAAAAAGAACGTATAAACATAAACAAAAAATGCCTTAAATAATTGTCGGACTTTGTTCATTTCATAATATATATATATATATATATATATAATATATATATATATATATATATATATATATATATCATTTTAATTTTATTTAAAATTGAATAAAACATTGATTTATCTCTGTGAATCAGTTTTATTTATATATTATATATATATATATATATATATATATGATTATATATCAAGTGAATTCATATAATATATATATATATATATATATATATATATATATATATATATATATATATATATACTAAGCAAATAGAACATAATACTGCTTCAACTAATCCCAAACATATTAATTTCCTATATCGTAATCAAATGCATACTAATTATAAACAAAATGAAAATATACTAAAAATATTGATAAATACTAATATATCTATACCAGATCCTAGCAAAAAATTAAGTTAATCATATACTACATTAAATCTAGTATATACAACTCAATTATTCGTCATGATTCTTTTCCCCCAGATATTTGCCAAAAACCAACATAGTTTAAAATTCAAGTGCCCTCTGGGAGATTGTATCTTTAACGGATTAAATAATATTTATGTTGGTCACACCACAAACTCGCTTTCGCGACATAAGATTTGTTCTGAAGTTTCGAAATACCTGAAAATCTACACAGGGCCTTCGTACAGTTTGCCCATAATTTTGTATACAATGCAAAAAAAAACCTCTTTCGAAGTTTATCTGATATATTTTGCGTATAATGTCCATCTATCATTCACAACTGGTATGAGGACGTTGACAAGGAAGGAATTTATTTTGAAAAATATATATTATTTTTTAAATAATTTTTTTTTTTTTTTTGTTAAGCTGTGGACTTTGCACGACTTTACGCGCATAATTTTTTCTTCACCGCTCATTTAACTGCATGGATATTTCAAATTTGCCCTTCATCCCACAATCAATTTTTCCAATTCCTTTTTTAATCTTCTGACTTTAAACATCAGCAAGATGTAAGGCGAAAATGGCAGGGCATTCATTTAATCTAGATCTGTTAAACGACCGTTTTTTAATAGGAAAAAGTAACTGTATTCACAATAATAGCCTAAAAAAACATGCTTACTTACAGTATATATATATATATATATATATATATATATATATATATATATGTGTGTGTGTGTGTGTGTGTGTGTGTGTGTGTGTGTGTGTGTGTGGGAAAAAGAGAGAGAAAGAGAAAATTAAAAAAAATCAGATTCTTTTCTATTTTTTGCGGGTTGCCTAATTTTTCATTATGGTTGCAAAAAAAGTAGTCCTCCAACTCGTGATCTCTCCACTTTCAGAAATATTTTTTTTTCTCTTTAACCTTGACAATATTCCGGCTGTCTTTTTTGCGGGGACAACTTTTCAGAACTTGCGAACATTCTTCACAAGACTTTCGTCATTTTTATTATGTAAATTCTGAGCCTCTCCTCGGAAAGATCTGGTAAGTTTAAAAGCAAGCAATACACCATTAAACAGCGAAAAATAATGAAAGCCACTTTTATGAAATTTTTATAATTTTTCCTTTCTCACACTCTTACCTTTTTCTTTACTTCAGTTCCCCTCTCTCTCTCTCTCTCTCTCTCTCTTTCTATTTTCTACTACTTTGATTTTCACTTGAACTTTACCCTTTCTTTTACTTATTTTTACCATTTAATTTCTCATTGTTTGTCTTTCATTTTTTCTTTCTTTCATACTTCCTTTCGCTGTTTTGTCATTTTTTTTCTCACTTTTTACTTTTCTCTGCTTTATAATTATTCCTTCGCATATGCATTCCCGTATGCATCGCTTTCATTTTATCTCCTTTCACTGTTAGTTTTGTTTTTCTTTTTTCACTTTCCCCATCTCACTGCTTCGTTTTACTTTCCTTTACGTTTTACTCATTGTTAGACTTTTTCTTACTCATTCCCCTTAATGTTTTCATTCTATTACTTCCCTCTTTCTCTTTCTTTCAGGTTGCCTCTTTATTGTTACTTTTTTTTTTCTTTTACTTAGTCTTTTACGTACCCTTTGCCACTTTCTTTTATTTTTTTACTTCTTACGCTTCCCAACTCTCTTTCTACCTTTTCTGTTACTTTTTCCTTTACATGTTGTTTCTCACGATTTTTAATTTTTTTTCTACTTTCACTTTCCTTTTTAATTATTCATTCACGTGTCTATTTATTATTCTCTTAATTCTTCATTTTATTTTTAATTTTTCTTTCAATATTTAACTTTTTGGTTCCTTTTACTTATTTTTTCACATCTCTCTCTCTCTCTCTTTCTTTCTTCCACTCTCGTTTAATATCCTTTCTATTGCTCTTAATTTCGTTTTATTTTTATTATTTAATACGCTCTAAATCTCCCCCTATCTTGCTTCGACCATTATTTAACACAAAATTATTTTCTTGATAATTTTTGAATACTTTTTTATTTTTATTTTGCTACCCTTTTCCAAATTTTTGGTACATTCTTCTTTTTTTTTTCTTCTAATCCTGTCACCCTAAGAAAGGCGATAGTGCTACTAAGACGCAAGATGTTACTGGGGGTGAAAGAGAATAAGAAGTTGCCAGCCAGGATAAAGGACAATAAAAGAACAGTTTCAGGAAGACAAAAGATCGTGATTGGCATTGCATTTAATTTTTTTAATATTGTAGGTGGCAGTGAAGCAAGAAAATAAAAAATGGAGTTCTACAAGAAGTACGTGTAAAGAAACTATTAGAAAAAAAACATACGTTTACATCTGGCAAGTTAAACAAAATGATTAGGAGAAGATTCCAATCTATTGTTTTATTGACTGATTCGTTTTCTACGATTTATCAAATTTTTATTTAAAGCCGGGAATTATTTTTAGATTATCATTTTTTTTTCGATAACGATTTACTGATACAAGTCTTACTAATTGACCTGTAGCTGGTGGGGGAATGTGCATTCCTACCTTTCCTGTAACGTAACCAAATCAAATTGGAACTCGGCTCTCCGATTAAAATTTCCGAGCCATTATCCATTACATCACTTGCACATGCAAGTTTACAGGACCTGGCATTCTCATCTAGGTACTGGGTCAGACTTAAATACGGTTATCGTATGGGAACCTCTGTTCCACTGTGATAAGGTCGTAATCCTTTGCCATCTAGTAGCACGCTTAAATTCGTGCAGGTTAGACAACAAGGAGGAAAGCTCATCAGAACATTTACCATGTAAATATTTGTAGAAAAATCAGTGGAAAGCTACGTCACGTCCCTGAGAAAGTGACTCAAGTTGTAATGTCTGGTCTTTTTCGCTTTCTTTTTTCCACATTTTCCTGCTTTGATTCCTGCTCTTCATTCTTTGATTCCTTTTTCCCCTTCCAATGTTTTCATTTTTTTAATCTCTTACACTTTCTTCTATCCTTTTTCCTCGTATTTCTTGCTATTGACTAAGCTGAGCATAACTTGTCAGATGGCTAAAGCTGGAACTAGAAGAACGGACATTTTTGTTAAGTCATTATCCAACTGGTCAAAATAAGTTTCCTTTTTAAAATAACCGTTGAAATTCGTGGCTCTTACCTGGATTTGAAACATTTGATTCTACTATCATTGTAAAGTTTCACATCAACGAAGCAACTTTACCTGTTTTCCCTATATTTCTTCTCTCAAATTTATGTTCAAGATAATTTTTTAAAGAATTTCTATACTTTTCAGCGATTTCTTCCTTTCCTTATCAGATAATTTGAATATTCTGTAGTCTGCCTGATATGGATGATTATTTATAGTTCTAGTTATTAAGATTTTATTTTTCAAAGTTATCTTTGTACAACCGTCCCAAGAGCCACTCTAGATAGAGGATTAATAAACACTGTTCATGGGGATATGTGTAGAATATAAACTTAGGCTAGATTTTAAAAGTTTAAAATTGTAATGATCGTAGAAGCATCCTCTTGGAAGTCGGCTCCATAAGCAACAGTTTATGAGAAGAACCTGTTCGAAAGGAACTTACATCTCACCAACAGAATACGAAGAGAAATGATGTTGGTTTGCTGCAATGTGTATAAGATAGCGGTTCTTACACGATTTACATTATTCGGACTATCGTCCTCATCTTTGTCGCTATATTTATTACAAAGTTTCGGCCGTTGTACGCTCCGGCTTTCTTCAAGTGGTTGGAATGTCGAACTGAACCCTTTATTTCTCTCAATGGGGTAGACTGTTCTAGTTCCACGTGCCATGTCTAATGGATGTCAGTTATATGTTATCTCCTGCTTAATTCTCTCTCCAAGTTCTCCACCGCCATTAAACTCATACTCTTTAGGTCCTGTCACTGGATCTAACTAACGCCTTTATCCACTGTGCCATGTTTCCTTGGGAACATCTGTGTATGAATTCCTGGGTATTATATTATAAACCTAATGTTTTCAGCAATATTTTTTACCAGTTCTCATATTGCAATATTTGCTGTTATCATTTCGCGTTTTTTACCAGAATTGAAATTTTTTGTTGTTATTATCGCTTTTCTTTGGCACTCCTTATTACTGGTTCCCATATTTTATTCATTTCTATGCTTGGTCGGCTCAGGAGATTTTTGCGGCCTAGTATATGTGCTGATTCCTTTAGTTTACGAATTTTCCAATGATGTTCTTTGTCTGTGATCTCAACCTGATCTCACAGAGGGCGGTGATCTCCCTTCTCTCTCCATATGTGATCAGCCTTGCCTGATTTTTCCACTTCTCCTCGTGTTACAGCTTTTTGGTGTTCTTGAAGCCTTACCTTAAGAGGACGGTTTGACTCCCCTTTATATTTCTTTCCGCAGCTGCACGGGATACCGTAAACACAGTCTTTAGTTATGTTCTCCTCTATGGAGAGGCGGGTCTTACTCGGGAGAGATATCTGCGAAGTGTTGTCCAGCTTTTGAAGGTTGCCCTGATGTTATATGGACCGCAGATTCTTTGTATTTTCTCTGATATACCCTTCACATAAGGCAGGCAGACTGTTTTCTGATTGTTGTTGTACTCCTCCTCTTGTACACGCTTATCCCAGTTTGGGGGTTTGCTGCCATGTATCCAGGGTGGTTGTTACGTTGTAGGGTTCTACTTATACTGACCAATTCTTTATCTAATGTCCCTGGGTCGCCACTTATGACTTTTTCTTGGTATTGTAAGCAGCGGACGATCCATTTCTTTACGCTGTATAGATGGTGGGAGTTGAAATTGAGGTACTGTCCGGTGAATGTCGGTTTACAATATACGGATGTCTTGGACCCATGCTCTTTTCGAAATATTAGAACATTCCAACCACCATAAGAAGGCCGGAGCGTCCAACGGCTGAAACGTTGTAATAGATATGGCGACAAAGATTAAAAAAATAGCCCGAATAATGTAAATAATACATTACTTACATTATTCAGACTATTGTCCTCATCTTTGTCGCCATATTTATTACAACTTTTCGGCCGTTGTACTCTCCGGCCTTCTTCAGGTGGTTGGACTGTCAAACTGAACCCTTTATTTCGCTCACTGGGATAGAATGTTCTAGTTCCACGTGCCATGTTCGATGGATGTCAGTTATCAGTTACCTCCTGTTAATTTCCCTCTGAAAGTTAGCCGGGTATTGAACTCACACTCTTTTCTGTCACTGGATCTAACCAACGCCTTTATCCACTGTACCATGTGTCCTTGAGGACATCTGTGTATGAATGTCTGGGCATTATAAACCTAATGTCTTCAGCAACCATTTTTACAAAATTTTCCAAATTCATTTTTTCATATTAAAAATTAACAGGAGATAACTGATAACTGACATCCATTAAACATGGCACGTGGAACTAGAACAGTCTACCCCAGTGAGCGAAATAAAGGGTTCAGATCGACATTCCAACCACCTGAAGAAGGCCGGAGCGTACAACGGCCGAAAAGTTGTAATAAATATGGCGACAACGATGAGGACAATAGTCCGAATAATATCAATAATGTACATAATACCTCATCTCAGAAATATAGACAGATAATGTAAATAATGTACATAATACTTCATCTCAGAAATATAGAGAGATAATGTAAATAATGTACATAATACTTCATCTCAGAAATATAGAGAGATAATGTAAATAATGTACATAATACCTCATCTCAGGAATATAGACAAATACTATAGCGGTTCATACTCATGAAGGTTAAAACGGGTGAAACTAAGGAATGTAGTTCGTTTTAACATTTTCCCTAGAAATAGCGATAGAGTAACAAGAGGTTAAAATGGTCCCTTTTGATAGAAATCAATATCTTCATTAAATATTCATATAATGCGCATATTTCCAACAACCTACGGGTATAGGTTAATTGTAAGCTGAAGTTGAGATATAATTCTCAATAATTTCTAACTGTAGATTTTTTTTGTCTCGTGTTCATTCAAAAAATCTATTGGGGAGAAATTTATTCATCTCTTTTATCTGGACACTTTATTTAGTATTTGTTTTTTCTCTATTTTTCTTTCTTTCATTCTGTTTTGCTACTATTATTTGAGTTTTCCTTCTTGTCATCGTTATTTCGTTTGTCTTTGAATTTCAATGTTTTCTTGTTGTCCCAGATATAATTCTGCACACACACACAACGTACATTCCAAATGGTCACTTTCAGAAACACATGCAAATACACAAGATCCTACACAAATTTGGGAGGAATATGATCACTTTGTCAAATTACCAAACATTCCCCGTGTCTCGCTGGCGTTTTTTTTTACACATTTCCACACATCTATCGACATTATTGCAACGGGAAGTAATGAACCTCATTTCTAGCAGAAGAACTTATACGCTGCAGATCTTTCGAATAACCAACAGTAGATTTCACTTAAAACAGCATTATTCTTTTTTTAGTCATTTTTATTTATTTTTATATCTGTTGAACTTGTATCGGTAATGGTGAATTTAGTCTTTTCCATGCTAAAAATATTACTTAGCGTTGGAAAGATAAAATTTTACGACCAAAACGGAGTAGGTTTACCGCAGAAATTTATCCCAAGGAGATTTCCAAATTCATTTGTATGCTTTTAAGAAATTTGACAAATGGAAAATGTTTTCTTGAAACTAGATTTGAATACGCGTTTCGCCTTTCTAAGCTTCATCAGAGGCAAAAACAAAGAAAATAAATGTGTGTGTGTA